TCCTTTAATGTACAGTTTTCATGAAAAACAAAGTCAAACGAACACCAAAATATCCAAAATTTCAACATTTTTTTCAGGTGAAAAATTATATCAATCAAACACAATTAATTGACAATTTCCAGGAAAACAATTCTAGGCAATTCAATTTCCTAGAATTCATTTTCTTTCCACCCAAATTCCACTCTTGCAATCAAACGGACCTTAATTAGAAATAAGTTTCTAGTTCCTTGCTAGATTATGAGACCCGATTTTACATAAATGAATTGGAACTTTAATCAAATTAGATATTTTAAGACGAGTTCATTCCGGTTAGGCTTGAAACTGAAAGGACTGCCTACCCAAATATTAAAATAGCAAAGCATGGTAATGAACTTAAACATAAACACTATCTAAACCAAAGCAAGATGTAAACAAATACATGCCTGGCATAATGCAGCACGCATGTTCAATGCCCCACCATTTGACAATCTTGGATAGCCAACAAAAGTGGTTGACACATATGACCACATGGTTATCTATTTCTTCCCATGGAATAGATTGCTCCAATCACTCAAATCAATCACACTAACTTGAAATTATTGATTCGGGAAAAGAAAAGGCTAGAGATATTGTTAATTATAAAATGAGGGCATTTTTTAACTCTTAAGGAAAAAAAGAGGTGCATGGAGAGAAAGACATTAAATATCACAAAGTATCGGCGTAATTATTATAAGGGTCTGTCTGATTTGGAGGATTTTTCATGAAAATTGAAAATAAAATTCCATCTTCTCCAAAAAGTGTTGTTTGATAATTAAAATTTGTCATGGAAATCATTTCCTTGGTTTTGTGGAACACATTGTTCCACCAATTTGGTGGAAATTGGCTTTCCAGGTTATTTTTATTTTTATTTTTTGTTAGCAATGAAAACAAATTCTATGGACAATTGTAAAAAAAAAAAAAAAAAAAAAAAATTCCTTTAATGGACAATTTTTATGAAAAACAAAGAAAAATAAATACAAAAAAATTCGGCATAGTAAAAAAACATTTAAAATTTTTTGATAATTGGAACAAATTATAGACCTAATTGTAGAAAAAATTATCATTTTAATGGATAATTTTCATAAAAAATAAAGTCAAATGAATACCAAAATATCCAAAATTTCAACATTTTTCAGGTGAAAAATTATACCAATCAAACACAATTAATTGACAATTCCCAGGAAACCAATTTTAGACAATTCAATTTCCTAGAATTCATTTTCTTTCCACCCAAATTTCATTATTGCAATCAAACAGACCCTAATTAGACATAAGTTTCTAGTTCCTTGCTAGATTATGAGATCCGATTTTACATAACTGAATTGGAACTTAATCAACTTAGATATTTTAAGACGAGTTCATTCCGTTTAGGCTTGAAACTGAAAGGACTGCCTACCCAAATATTAAAATAGCAAAGCATGGTAATGAACTTAAAAATAAACACTATCTAAACCAAAGCAAGGCACAGGGCAGGACAGGTGGGGGCTGTTAAGGATGCGGGTCATCCTTTTCATACTAGCATAATGCAGCACACATGTTCAATGCCCCACCATTTGACAATCTTGGATAGCCAACAGAAGTGGTTGACACATATGACCACATGGTTATCTATGTCTTCCCACGGAATAGATTGCTCCAATCACTCAAATCAATCACTATGCTTTTTTTCTTTTCAGTGCTCAAGAAACCTTTCAAGGGTTCAATAGGATCGGATCGACCCCCAAATTTAGGGACGGAGCAACTATATACATTTTGTGTTACAACTCTTCTTGTATCATGGAAAGGGATTCCTATATTTTCTGTAAAAGATTTGTTCACATGGATCGTGGACCACTACTCGATTCAAGAATATTTCGAAATTGACCCGTAACACGGATCAAACCGCCGAACTTCACTATGCTTGTACAAAATGTGGACCACGGTGTGTTAGATTATACCGATCTAACTTATTTCAAACTTGTTTGTGTTCATGACAAGTAACACCTTTTTAATCATGTCTTATTTACACGTACAAAGTGTGATGTGTTATTACCAACCTTAGAGAGATTTTCTCCGCTATTCACTAAAAAAATTAGTTACGCCTATCTTCAATCCTTCATGTTCTCTTCATCTTATTCTCAAGCAGAATTCGAAAAAACAATCCATTCATCCAAACCTTCGCAAGAATTTGTAGTTTTACAAATCAAACACTCCATCGAATTATAATTATTGAATTTTGAGTTCTTGTTCTCTGTAATTTATGCCATGTTCAAAGATACCGTCACTAGAAAATGGTATATTAGTACTATACTAGTCTAAATCATTTTACACGACTCCGTGTTCACAATGGGTAGATGGACAATCAGAAATGTTCTCATACCCAGAGTACCCACAGTAGGGAGTCTTATCTTACCCACTTTCTCTTGCCACATCAGCAAGTGGATAAAAGAACAATTTCAGATGGACAATATCTTTCCAAGCCCCTGTTTGGTGCATATTTTTGCTCCAAGAATGTATTTTTTTTATTGATGTGATGTGGAATATATGGTTGAAAAAAAAATTATGGATGTGATGAAAAATATTATTTTATTGAAAAATATGTGATTAAAAATGAGTAGAAGAATGAGAATGAAAAAAATAATGTGACTCAAAAAGGGACTAAACCCCTGTTTGGCCCCCATTAAATTAAATTACATTACATTAAGTTTTTTCCTCTCTTCATTACAACCACACATTCATCAAATAAAATAATATTACACACAAATCTAAAACTTTTCATTACTTTTTCACCACACATTCTCCCATCAATCACTATTCAAAAAATTTGCAACTATAAAAAATGCTAAATAATAGGGGCGGAACAGGGGCTAAGTATATCTTATCTCAGAAATGATCTAATGAGCACCGGTGCTCATCAGATCATTTCTGTATCTTATCTATATACGATGTAAGGCTTACAACATGTATATAGAAATACGAAATTAATACCCCCTCACCTTCCCGTCCTCACCAATCCCTCCTTACCTTCCTTGCCTCTATCAATAAATGTAAACTTTAAAGAATTAACTTCATTCATCAGAATTTCACAATACTTAAACATCATCTTCACACTTCTCTCTCTCGCTCTCGGAAAATATACTTCTGCTTTTCCTTTAAGAGTTTGTTTGACAGTAGTGTGTGTTTAACAGTTTAGGTGGTGGTGATGATGATGAAAAGTGAAGACAAGAACGAGTCCACAACTGAGATGGATGAAGGAGAAGTTTCAATTTCAATTCCTGAGGTAAATATTTGCTCTTTCTTCATTTTGTTTATATGCGAAATGAATCATTGCTTTCTCGTGGAACATCTACAAAGAAAAAAAAGGGTAAATTAGTATTATTAGTTGTCATGATTAGAAGCAGGTTGTCTGTCTTCGATCACTCGGTTCTAATTTGTTTATTTACTTGGTTTTGCAGTTGCGTTTTTGCTCTATCTATGACTTTTAACTGCCATGGATCAATATACTGTCTCTTGAATGCTCCTTCTATGGTTATTTGGTGTGTAAACATGATTTTATTGAAAATTTTAGCTCATTTACTACTTTATTACTTCTTTCAACTAAATTTTGAGGTGAAATTGAACTGCCTCGTTTAAAAGTGGGTGGTTCAACACAATATCTGAGCCTGAGGCACGTTAAGGTCGAACCAACTCATCTAAAAGCTAGATGACAAATGGGCTTTGGTCTTTGTCATTTTCAAGAATTTCGGGTAGAACGGAGAGTCTTGTTTGACAAGAATTTCGGGTAGAACGTAGAGTCTTGTTTGACACTCTAGTCCCGCTTCACATGGGAAAGATCCGACACTTGGAAAAGGCATCTTCTGATGCTTGATTTCTGAACTTCACAAAATACTCTTCTTTTTTTTTTTTTTTCCAATGGGAAATCTCTGCAGTAAAGAATTAACTTCTGCATTTATTTTTAAAGGAGCAGATGGAAAATTAGTTTAGGTCTTATCTGTTTATTGACAAATATCATATAGTATTATTGTATTTGAAAATGGAAATGCTAATAATTATTTGCAATGCGTCGCAAACAACATTTTCAATCTCTCTGTTCTTTAAGGGGATAAATTCATATTTATTCAAACTGTGTGAATTTGACACCACGCGGATGGTGATGTGCTTCGCAGATAGAAATACTTCATTATAATCTCGACTGGCCGGATTGAGAAAGCTTGTGCACATGTGAGAGTTTTCCAATTGAGCAAGTCGAGGAGAAAGGGTCTTACAAGAAGAACTATTGGAGAATCTGTTAGTATGGCAAAATGATAATACATGTATTTTGGTGTTGATTACTACACTGTAATATTATTATAGCTTTGTGCGGTTTACAGATAGAATGATTACTCATGATATCTGTGTCCTAGCGTGCATGTTTCTGTAAATGCTTATAGTTCATCTGCTTATCAGTAAATTTACTTTTGGATGCCTACAATATTTACTGATCGACAACTTGAATAACTAACCAAGCGCTTTCCATTTTCAGGAAGAGAAATCCTCTGGGATGATGGGAGAAACATCAAACGTTAAACATTGGAAGAAACCGAACCTTTTCTTGGAGATACCTAGCAGAACATTGGAGGTATCCCATCAAAAGTTTGTTCAAATAAAGATGCCTCCTACGCCTACTCCCATTCCCACTCCGACTCCGAAAAGAGTTAACTTCCTTTTAACTCCCAGCCCTTCTGATGCAAAAGTAACTGTAAGTGGATCTCCTTATCCCTCCTCGTCCAAAGCCAAACCATCCATCAAGAATTTGCTGCCAAGACTAAGCTTCAAGTACCGGAGTTCTAATTCTGATACAGAAAAGACTTCCAACCTTGATTCAGGTTCATCAACTACCAGGACGCAAGAGAATCCTTCCATACCAAGGTCATGGTCACTAACAAAAATTTTTACACCTCGCATGAAGAGGACAAAATCTTTACCTGTAACTCCAATTGTACATTCAAATCCAGACTCTGTCTGTGATGGAAGTATAAACAGTTCTGTAGCCCTTGAGGTAAGTTCTTTAACCCTTGATGTAATTATTTGGGAAAAAATTTTATGAGGATTTGAATCAAACTCCAACACGTATATGGCACTTGATTTCAGCATACTTGTATAGCAAGTGGAGTGAATATGACCATGTAAAAGACCTCTAGCATCTAATTTCTGAAAAAAGAAAAAAACAAGGCTACTAAACTAATCATATTGTTATACTTGTTAGTTTGCCATTCTAGTTATGTTAATTCATTAATGCTGAAAATTTTTAACTACAAAATGTATGATTTTCCCTTGTTTTCGCTAAGAGGGGGCTAATGGAGAGGTAGTAGAACTAGATAATTGGTAAATGCAGACATTAAGTGGAGCCAAAACATTCAACGGTAATATCCTGAGGATACTTGATAACTGTTATTTTTCCTTTTTCGTTTCTTTTCAAGTTTCATACAGCTAACTAGTCTAATTGTTTGGCGTATAGATTAAAATGTTCATATTGATGACTGTTTCTTGTAGACAAAAGTTGCTCAGCGGCACATGTCCAGGTCACTTTCTGTCCCAGACCTCAACAAAGACAAAAGCATTCGAAAACTTGATTCTTTCTTTCGTGTGATCCCCTCAACTCCTCGAGTGAAGGACGGCATTTCAGAAGTGTCAACAGTGACTGCACCTGGAGAATCTGGTAATTTTGTCTACCAGCGTCATAATTTACAGTAAAGGTCATTGGACACTTGAAGCTATTTATACTTCTACATATACATAGAGCATTAGAACACTTTTTTCTATAACGAACATTGTTATAGAACTGATAGAAGCATTTGCATGTCAAATTTGGTTAGTAAAGCACATGCCCAGTATCCATATGCTCCACTAGCCTTTTTTGTTACATTTTACCTAACCTCACTAGCAGATTTCAACATTTTGTGCCTTTTTGACTGCTAAAGTTGCAAAATAAGCTTTTATAGCAGTCGGATAGAAAAAAGTTAATGGAGATTTGTTCTTTTTTGCCCATTTATGATGATGTTGCTTCTATCTATTGATAACCTCATGAAATCAGAGAATAATGAAGATGATGGTGAAGATATACCCGAAGAAGAGGCTGTTTGTCGAATTTGCTTTGTTGAACTATGTGAAGGTGGAGAGACGCTTAAGATGGAATGTAGCTGCAAAGGTGAACTTGCTCTGGCTCATCAAGAATGTGCCATAAAATGGTTTAGCATAAAAGGTAACAAGACGTGTGATGTTTGCAAGCAAGAAGTTCAAAATCTACCTGTCACACTTCTGCGTATCCAAAGTACTATAAACCGCAATACTGGAGCAACTAGTTTTGGACATATGGAAATCAATGGATACAGGCAAGTGCAAGTTTTAGTATTAAATTCTGAGTGTGAGTTTTATCAGAGATACACTTACAGAACTTTTCTATGGCTATAAAACATATAAACATCATTCTTCTTCAAGCAGTACTATCTTTTAGCTTCTTAGTTTTGTTTGTCATGTGGGTCGTGCAGCAAACCGGTCTCACTTTGCTCCTTGACATTTTTTTTCCTAGCAAATTCAAGAACTCAAACATGTTATGCCCCTTAGCAATGAAATATGGACAGTATGAATAGACTGTTGCCTGAAGCATACATTTTTTTTTTTTTGTGGAACAGAGTTTGGCAAGAAGTGCCCATTCTTGTCATTGTCGGTATGCTGGCCTACTTCTGTTTTCTTGAGCAGCTGCTGGTAAGGTTAACAGCTTTTTCATTAGATTGAGATCTGCAGGTTGGCTTTTCATTTATGATTTAGTCTACTTGCAGGTTCATAGAATGGGTACAGGTGCAATTGCCATATCGCTTCCGTTTTCTTGTTTACTTGGTCTTCTGTCGTCTTTGACCTCTTCAACTATGGGTATGTGCAAATTTAGTTCCGAATGGAATAACTAATATGGTTAATTGTCTTAAAGAATTCATTATGAATTCGTCATGCCAAACTAAAATTTTCTATATTAGAACTTGTTTCTATTCATGATTATTACGAACCTTTTTTATATATGTAGTCGAGAGAAGATTCGTCTGGGTATATGCATCAATTCAGTTCGCCCTTGTGGTTCTCTCTGCTCATATCTTTTACTCCTTGGTAAGGACCAACAGAAACTCTCTCGTTTAATCTACTTTCAAGAACTAAATACTGTATTTGGTTATTATATGTCAATTGTCAAACATCTTTGTATTACTATCCGAGTTTGTTACTTTGCAACTTGTAGGTTCATGTGCGACCAGTTGTATCAATTCTTCTCTCAACATTTGCGGGTTTTGGTGTAGCAATGTGTGGAAGTTCTGTTCTCGTTGAGTTCCTGAGATGGAGAAGGCGACGTGCTGTTACCAATCAGAATCAAATGAGTAACCAAGTCACCTTAAATTAGACAAGGTAACCTCAAATGAATCAAACTGCAACGCCGTCCTATAAAGGTCCTCAGCTTCATCAAACAGGAGATGAAAATCGAGAAACATTTAGTGGCGGATGATGATCAGAACCAAATCAAATGAGACTACAATCAACAATCTGCAAACTGAAGAGTTCTTGTATTTATACAAAGATGCAGTAGATTTTTCAGAATGTTTGCATATAGTTTGATCTCTTACTAGGTTGAAATGAAAAATAGAGTATTAAGTAAAAAATCATGCAAAAGTTTCAAAATTTTCTTAAAGATTGGAATAGAACAAGATTGTTATCTGTATTATTTTAGCACTGGCAATTACACCACACAGTCTCTTCTGTATTTATTAATCCCAGCTCCTCAAATAATATCTACATACTAGAGATCAATTTTAATTAATTGAAAGAAGTCAGTTATCATAATAGTATTTTGGAATTATATACAGGCAATGTTTGGTAAGGGTTAAAATCAAAATTTTAATCTAAGTCAAAGTTAACAATTAATTTAAGTAAACATTTTGTGGGATCCACATTTTTTCAATCACGTATTTATCAACTTTTATTAAAATCTATAAAGAGATATGATTTTAAATCCATTCAAATTAGGGCATAATGTTAGCAAGTGATTTATATAACAATTTATAAAAAGGCTTTCTTCACTTAATCAATTTAAATAGAAAAAAATTAAAATTGGACTCCTCTACCTTTCATGTAGCTTGGCTTCAAAAGAGAGGTTCTGAATCCTCAATTTATTTAATTATTTGAATTTAAATCTCTCACATGAAAATTGTCAATGTGAAATTTTAGCGTGACCTAAAACTAAAATCTTAAATAGTTTAAGAGTTTCGCAGTCAATCTTAGGTCACGTAAAAGTAACATGCAGTTTTAATATCTACAGTTATGTTTATCGTGGAACATAAACAAGTCGAGTCAAATTGGCTCGAGCTGTCGAAGTTTGCTGCTTGGGCTTTTTTGGCCTAAGCCTAGTCGAACCAAAGCTCGGACGAAAAATTGAGGGTTGACTTGGGCTTTAGGCTCGGAATTTATCGAGCCAGCTCGTTTTTTCCCCTTCATGCAGCCCAGTAAGCAGCTGCTGCTGCATACTTCGACAAGTAGATAGCAGCAAGCAGTCATTTTTAACCCATGTCACGGGCCATTTTAGCTTGCTACTCGGGCCGGCCCTGTGTGGCTTAGCTAGCTTAGGGTGGGCATTCGTCGGGAATTGAAGTTTGATCTGAGCTGCAAGTCGAGCTGTCTCGAACTTTTTACGGGCTTAGCCACATGTCGTTCGAGTCGACAAGTCTGATTGACATCCCTACGTCTATCACGTGAGATTTAGTTTACATATTTAAATAAGTTAGGTTCCAAAACCTTTTATTTTCAAATTGAAAATCCAAAATCACACTAATTTAGCCGGTGAAAATTGAAATCAAGATTTGAATTTTAGTCAAAATCAACAATTAATTTAATCCTACATTTTATGAAATCCACAACTTTTTAATCTCCGGGGGCTAAGGTTGGGAAGCCCATCACTAATATTTCCTTAAGTAAAAGGCCTTTTCCCACTTTTTTCACAATGAAAGGGCTATTTTAACAAATTCGTGAAAATATAAACTGAAGTTCAAGAGGATTTCTCTCTTTATGATTCCGCCATTCCGCCTTCAGCACCAGCAGCGAGGGAAGCTTTCGCAGACAAAAAACGAGAAATTACTGAACAAAGAAGAATAGAAAACGAAGAAGAAAGAAATAAGGAAAGGAGAATGAAGATAGAAGAAGTACAATCCACCACTAAGAAGCAGAGAATTGCAACTCATACTCATATCAAAGGCCTCGGCCTCGAGGTAACTTGTTCTATTTTTCTACTCCATTTTTTTCTGATTCTTATAGTGTATATTTTTTTTTTGGGTACTTGATTTTTTCTCCTCACACATATGCCATGTTTCCTTTTTTTTTTGCCTCGGTTGACAATTTTTTTTTTCTAAATATTTAATTTTTGTGGGTTTTAAAGGGTTTAGGGTTTTGCTGTTTTGTGTTATACCGGTGCTTATAGTTTTTTGGTTTCATGGCTTCTGAAGAAAACGTTATTTGTGAATGGGGCCTTGTGTTTCCTTCAACGCTGAAATATTTAAGCCAATTATAAATAAATAAAAAAAACAATTTTGCCAGAATAAAATTTGTTCTTCTTTGTTTGTGTTTGTGTAAGCATTGCTAAATTAGGAAAATAAATAGAAGAAACAGAAGAAGAACTTTATTGAAGTTTAAAGATTTAATCTTTATTGTCTATTTTATTTGTACTATTAGAAAGAAGATCGATTCTTTCTTTAGTCATTGTTGTAATGGGTTGTCCAGGGTCTGTTACTGGCCTTCAAATGATTGAGCGATGATATATATAAATAGAATGTCTATTGATTTCATTTTTTTTCTACTTATTCTTGTAGCCCAATGGAAATGCAATACCTCTGGCTGCTGGATTTGTGGGTCAAGTAGCTGCCAGGGAAGCTTCTGGTCTTGTCGTGGATATGATACGTCAAAAGAAGATGGCTGGACGTGCATTATTACTTGCTGGTCCTCCTGGTACTGGAAAAACTGCTCTTGCCCTTGGAATTTCCCAAGAACTTGGTAGCAAGGTTTTGTTAGCATGAATTCTTTCTTGCATTTCAGTCTTCATTGTTGTGATTCGTTCTACCTTTATTTTTCTGTTACCGAATTGAGTGTGATAATGCTTATTAACTGGTATCGTATTCTTCTCTTACATAATTGAAATATATATAGGTTCCTTTCTGCCCAATGGTTGGATCAGAAGTGTATTCATCTGAAGTAAAGAAGACAGAGGTTCTAATGGAGAATTTTCGACGTGCTATTGGCCTCCGTATTAAGGAGAACAAGGATGTTTATGAAGGGGAGGCAAGTTACTTGTCATCAGGATCTATTTTTGGGTTCTTGTAAATTTTGTGATTTTTTGACTTACTTTATTTGCTTCGTTCAGTCTCTTAACTCTTGGCCGCTGCTTGTACTGTAGGTGACTGAATTATCTCCAGAAGAAACCGAGAGTGTGACAGGTGGATATGGTAAAAGTATAAGCCATGTTATAATTGGTTTGAAAACTGTTAAAGGTACAAAACAATTGAAGCTGGACCCAACAATATATGATGCCTTGATTAAGGAAAAGGTGAGATCATCAGTAGCCGCTTTCATGTTAGGAAAAATTCTCTGGTTTAACCTTATATTGTGTTTCACCAAATGTTACGCTTTAGGTTCTTGTCATTATGAAGAGGAACTTCCTAAGCTCATGTTTGGTACTGCAAAAAACATTGATTAAAATCTAAGTTAAAGTCAACAATTAATTTTAACCCTATATTTTATAGGATCCACAACTTTTCAACCACACATTACATCAACTTTTATCAAAATATATTAAAAATCTGGTTTTAATCTTTACCAAACAGGGGTTAAATAAGTTTCTTGTCTTATGAAGAGGAACTTCCTAAATGTCATTTGTTTATTTATATATTACATTGTGAACCAATTCTAGAGGATGATGTTTGAATAACTTGTGATATCTTATCTTCAGCATGCTTATTTTACTTATGAAATTTACCGTTTACATTTCCTAGCCATAGTTTTAATACTATAAAAACCTCCAGGTAGCGGTTGGTGATGTTATATACATTGAAGCAAATAGTGGAGCAGTTAAAAGGGTGGGAAGGAGTGATGCTTTTGCAACAGAATTTGATCTCGAGGCAGAAGAATATGTTCCACTTCCTAAAGGGGAGGTTCACAAAAAGAAGGAGATAGTTCAGGTGTGTCTCTGTTTTCTGCAATATGGTTTTATTAAATTATTGTAGTTCTCATTGGCGTTTTTAGATAGTTGAGAGTTCACACACAAAAAGAACTTCGTTAGTATCCCAATGCCTCAGTTATGTTTACTTCTAGTTTCAGGTGTTTTGAGCATTGTGTATAGACCTTTTTCTTAAATCATTAATTTCATCATATGTGTGATTTTAGTTGAGATTCTGGATTGCAGACCTGTGCCTAATTTGATTTCTTAAACCTTTTGATTCTAAATAGATCAATTTTTTTACCTATCTTGTATGTGCTTCCCGTGCTCCCTTCTTCATCTAGATTTTATATCAACACATGATTCGATCCATTAGGGTAATTTCTGAAGTTCATGCTTATGCCTTCTGTATCCCTTTTTCCATGTGGAGAAGAATTATTTCAAGTTAGCTATTATGGCTTGTGGTGACGTAACATATTAGAGGGCGGAAGTTATATGTCCTAACATATTTTTGGGATAGTATGTGGTGATTCTCGTAACGAGCTTTACTACGTTGGTGTGGTTTCATCAAGAGAATAATGCATAGAGGGAGAAGGTAAATGTTTCAAAAGTTTGTTGAATGTCCGGTTCTCTTATCTAAATATTGTCGCCTTATCAGGATGTTACATTACATGATCTTGATGCTGCAAATGCTCGACCTCAAGGTGGACAAGATATATTGTCCCTGATGGGTCAGATGATGAAGCCCAGGAAAACTGAAATTACTGACAAGCTACGGCAAGAAATAAATAAGGTACATATATCACGTTTCAATGGAACTCTTGTATACTTTCTACGGTTGTGACCTCTTATTAATGAATCCTGAAACAGGTGTATATTATGTCATGGAACCACTTCTGGATTATCAGAAACCATATATTTGCAGAATTTTTGAATCATCATGCACTTATACAATTAATTGATTGCAGGTTGTTAACCGTTATATAGATGAAGGTGTAGCAGAACTTGTTCCTGGTGTATTATTTATCGATGAGGTACTTTTTTTCTTGTAAACCCATTCATTTAGCTCCTTGAATTGTATGCAGATATCTTCCTTTAACACGCTAAGCTTAACATAGGTGCATATGCTGGACATGGAGTGCTTTTCATACTTGAATCGTGCTTTAGAGAGTTCCTTATCTCCAATAGTAATTTTTGCGACAAACCGAGGGATTTGTAATGTCAGGTACAGTGATGCACTCTTGCTATTTGTTTAAATACTTCCTTTGATTATCTTAACAATTTGTGAAACGACCCGAGTCTTTAAACCCAAGTTGTTAACTTACGTACTATTCGCTTTGGGTGGGCATATGTCCACTTACCCCCTCACTGTTCTCTATCGTGTCCCTCGGGATTCGAATCCAAGATCTCTGCCTAATGAGAGACTTACTTAAGTTGAATCTTAGTACCAATTGGGAGCCTTGAGGTGGTAAGTGGGCATATGTCCACCCAAAATGAACAGTACGTAAGCTAACGGTTTGGGAATAGAGACGTTGGTTGTTACAAAAAATGCAAGCGCTAGCTTATGTCCTGTCCGCTTTGGGTGGACCTATGCCCACTTTCCATCTCATGACTTTCTATCGCGTCCTCTAGGATTTGAACTTAAGATCTCTGCCCAATGAGAGACTTAAGTTGAATTTTGGTACCAATTGGCCATCCAATTTCCAAAAAGAAATCCCAATTGTGTCGAACTTTTCATTTTTGGAATGGAATAGGATCAAGATAAAACCTTATTCTATGGTATTTACACGAGGTTCTCGATATTATAATTATCGTTGATCTGCACAAAGAATATATGGCCCTGCGAGAGTGTATCACTTTTTAAATTCCTACAAATTGTGACCATGATCTTGCAGATATTTTGATTTCAGCAAATGATGAGGCAATTGGTACTAGGATTCAATGTAAGTCACTCATTAGGCAGAGGACTTGAGTTCGAATTTCGAGGGACACGAGAGAAAGTCGTGAGGGCCCTTCCAAAGTGGACAGTACGTAAGTTAACGGTCTAGTACTGTCCGCTTTAAGAGATTCAAGTCTTTTATTAGGCAGCGGTCTTGAGTTTGAATCTTGAGGGACGCGATAGAAAGTCGTAAAGGGGTAAGTGGGCATATGCCTACCCAAAGCGGACAGTATATAATTTAACGGTTTGGGTATAGAGACTCGAGTCGTTACAGAAGCCAAAACGTAGACCCAGTCGTTCACCCCACCCCACCCCTAACCCTCACAACAAACAAAAAAAGAATATGAAGAAGAGAATTAATTAACAATTTCTTGGTGTAAAATGTTGAAGAATGCAATATAAAATCATTATCTCTTCGGATTATTTTTCCTTATTTATTTGTTCTAATACTTAATAAGAAAAGTATATGTTATATCCTATGATACGCAAATGAAGTGTGAATCTGTGAAATTTAAGAAGCTTGAATCAGGTCTAGAAAAGGAAAATTTGGTGGCTGAACAGTAACTTTTGGGAAGTGCATTGAGTTAGCATTTATAGACTCTGAGTGCTTGTTCTAACAGAATAAGAAATAGTTTTTCTACTAAGTCTAGTAGTAGAGATAGTCCAGAAATCTCCTATATTATCACTACTTACAAAATCCTTAAGAAAATCATTTTATTCGATTCCCCAATTATCATCCACCATCTTTCTCCTTTGTCATCATCTTACACTAGCAGTATTGCTTTCCCCTTCCCCCTCTCCTTCTCAGTGTAAAGGCATAAAAAACAAATAAACGCACCCATAAACATTCTAAAGCTATAAAAAAATAGCTCAATAACTTGATGCCAGTAATAAAATGCCAAAAATGGCAACATAAGCGAGCACACACCTCAGCCACCTAAGTACGTCTAGTCATAAGCCTCACGAAGGGCACTCAATGGGCGGGTTTTGAGCCATTTTATAACTAACAAATTTTAGTTTAACGAAGACTCAAGTAATGGTGAAAATCCTGTGGACTAAAATTACTGCTTACAAATTACCAGGAAGTTCCTCAATTCCTGAGCTTAATTAAAAGACCAATAAATCTAACTTTTTGCATTCAAACTTCAACTAATTTCTGCGATGACTTTATCAATGGACACCAGTTTCAATTAAAAAACTCGATGTAGTTGATGTATGATGCATCACTTGTCCTTGACCTTGAAAGGGTCTTCTGCTACTGTAGTGGATACATATGGTAACAATCCGTTAGAAATTGTTTCCACAAAAATTACCCCAAGCATGTTTCACAAGGTTCATAAAGAAAATAATTTTCACTTCTTGGGTGGGTCCACACATCGAAAAACAGAACTCTTCTGTTGTGCTTTATACGATATTATAATTACTTCTGGTGTCGAACCATCAAATAATTATTGTCTTATTCGGTAGTTTCTCTCTTGGGGAATGTTTTATCTATAGGGAAACTAGCACTTCTTTGTTTTATAAACTGAGCAACTAAATCCATTTTATACATGTTCGTCAATATTGGATTATTTGATGTTTAGTCCTAACTTGATGAATTTACCTGATCTTCATTGATATATATGTTTGTATAAGATGATCCTCTAAAACTGCATGAAGGTTCAATTTTCTGCTTTAATTTTTGTACCAACAATGTGTCCCCTTGTACTGAGACCATTAACCATGCCTAGTGGTTTATAGCGGATTTTATTGAGAACTTGCTCCAGTATTTCCCACTGTTCTTTACTTTGCCTTCTTTATAATTTACAGCTTTCAACATACAAAATAACGGGTGAAACCATTTATATGAAAATAATTTACAGCTTTCAACATACAAAATAACGGGTGAAACCATTTATATGAAAATACATTCTAAAATCTAGTGAAATTAGAACTGTAGCTTTAACAAAACTAAAATGCACAAACGATGTATTTAACCTTGTTTGTTGATGCAAATAACATTATTGCAAATAACCTTTTTTTTTTTAACAAATTCTGATTCAATCATATCTCATTGCATCATGTGTATATAAACCATTATATACATATATTACAACTGAAATGTAATTATTCTAGTTGCATGTATCTGTATCATCTCCTTGGAATTCCCACTTTCCGAACAGCTTCATTTTCTCTCTTAAAATGCTAAAAGACAAAAACATTTCTTTGCAGAGGAACGGACATGAGTAGTCCTCATGGCATACCAGTCGACTTACTAGATCGGTTGGTTATAATAAGAACAGAAACCTATGGTCCAGCTGAAATGATACAGGTATAGAGAAATTTATTCTATTGCATTAAAAAACCCGAGGCCTCTAATCTACATCTGCTATTCAATAAATGAAAAAAACCCGAGGCCTCTAATCTACATCTGCTATTCATTAATTGCTTTTGTTGATGCATTGGCAGATATTAGCTATCAGAGCACAAGTCGAAGAGCTGCAGATAGACGAGGAAAGTCTGGCTTATCTTGGAGAGATTGGACAGCAAGCATCCTTGAGGTTTTACTTAAAAAAAAAAAAATATTGATTTATATCCCCCTTCTTGTGACTTTATTCCTTTAATTTAAATCCATATCGCATTTTACATCAGGCATGCAGTCCAGCTGTTATCACCAGCCAGCATAGTTGCTAAAATGAATGGTCGCGATGATATTTGCAAGGTACTTGTATATTAGTTTGTTGTGGATTCTAATAGTAAGAATAGTTGCTCAGCTTTTATGTATCTGTTTTGCAGACGGATCTCGAAGAAGTTGGTACTCTTTATTTGGATGCCAAATCTTCTGCTAGGCTCCTTCAAGAGCAACAAGAGAAATACATATCATAATGCGGTTCTTGAGTGATGTGTTCCTGGATTTCGACTTGCACTTTTGATCATTGGACGTCGTCCAATTTAACATTTAACCTGCAAGCATCGGATACTGTTTTATTGTCGAAATCGAACTGTTCTTTTTCTGTGGTTAGTTTGATTACTGTCCAAACCTATTATATTTCGTATTAATTCTAACTTTTGATAATAAAGGACTAAGTGAATTTTCATGATAATTCCAAACTTTTTAAGCTTAGCCAAACAGAGTCTAGATGGCATTGAAGACGATTGAGATAATGGAATTGATAAACCACGCTCTCGTCTATGTCCAATACCCAGTTAGAATTAGGAAAATCAACCAAATTAAAAGTCAAGAACCCTACTAAAGTATCTTCCTCCACAAAAGGGAGTGGAGAGCCATTCTTGAATCGAAATTTGCAGAATGAATGAACGGTAATTAGAAGTAGTTCGGAATTTTCATACGCTCTCGTCACTCTTTCAATAACGCTAAAAACTCTCTTTCATAAAACTATTTTTATTAGGGGACATGCTACATGTAACCTTTATGTACTAAAAATTATGTACACTAAGAATTATTCTTTTAATTTGACTTCGAAGTTCACCTAAAAAATTAAACCTTGAACATAAATGATGTAAAAATATATTTTTCAAAATATTTCATCAATTGGATTTTTGGGCCCTAAAACTGGTAAGGCCCATAACTTCACTATTCATTTTGTCGCGCGCATTACATACATGTATGTGTATTTATAGTGCTTGAGCAGCGAGCACGCAGTGCATTTTCTGTTCGTTCAAACAGTTGCACAAAAACAGAATTCACATTCGAAGGAAAGCGAACTCACTCGAGAGAAGCTATGGAAATGGTGGAACATCAACAGACATTGACAAAGAAGCAAAAGGCGATGCTAGCAATTGAGGACTACCTCGATCTCGTTGATGGTCACAAGAATCTCGTCGATCTCACCGTCCGCCAACTCAACCAGGTCCTCCTCCAACCGTCAATCTCAATTTTGGTTAAATGTTTGTGCTGTTACTCACTTACTCTACTGAAATCGAGTTTGAGTACGAATTGCATCAAAGTTTTCGGTTAATATTTTTTATTGCTTTAATTTTACAGATCCTTGGCATGCATGGCTTCAACAAGATGACTTGTCAAAAGGTCAGATTCAATAATTCGAAGTTCATTTCCGATATTGCATATTTTTTGAATTTCCTTTTTCGTTTCTGAGAAATCATTTCTATTAATATTGATTAATGAGTAATTTATTAATACAGAAGACTTTGACGGAAGTGGTGAGCAGAATACAGCTGATGAACTTCAGTCGCTCTACCTTACAAGACGACGACGTATCCTCATGTGGTTGCCTCACTCTGGAGGAAGTGATAAAGGGCATCAAAGATATCGACTGGCACGAGTGCCACATCACCTCTCTCCGCACTCAAAACGCCGCCAGTTCAGCCTCCTCTGCCGGCTCCAACGACGCTGTTCCAGTGAAGAAGCCGAAGAAGGCTCGAGTTGCTGCTTCTACTGGTACTGCCTCCTCTGCCGGCACCAACGGCGCCGTTTCAGTGAAGAAGCCAAAGAAGGCTCGAGTTGCTGCTACTGCCTCCTCTGCGGGCACCAACGGCGCCGTTTCAATGAAACCAAAGAAGGTTCGAATTGCTGCTTCTGGTACTTCTGTTGCTGTATTAAGTACCACTACTGGAGCTTGAGGATCGTTTCTTTACAAGTTGGGTTGTGATTTAAATGGAGGTGAGGATAATATTTGCATATTGTAATCCGAAAGTGAATTTTGTTAGAAATTTGGTACATTTTCTTTGACAATCCAAAAATCGAAAAGAACAAGAAAACAATAAGCATTAATTATGTATTCGATTTAAAGAAGATTTGTTAATCAAACACATCATTCACCTCCTGCAAGTTCTCAACAAATCTAATAATGCATCTATGAAAATTAATACCAAATAATCAAACAAAATGACAGTGTGTGGTAGTAGCAGTGAGAATTTGAGCACATATAGAAATAGAAATCTCTAACTGTGGATCTACAGAAATCCGGTTCTAGCGGCGTAGCCAAACTGCGAGCGGCGAATATTCTGTTGGCGTTTCTTGTACACAATAGTTCCGATGCCCAAAACGCATGCAAAAGCAATTACTCCGATTGCAACCCCGGCCTTCTGCCCCATTTTCATCCCGCCAGAGGACTCCTCCGTCTCTAAGTTACTGAAATTGGCTTGGTTCGCGTGGTTTACATTGCTCGCAATCTCTGGAGCCGGCGCCAATGAAGGAGGCGGAGACTTCTCGGGAGAAGAATTTTCTGCCGCCGGAGATGGTGCAGGGGAGGAATCTGACAGCGGAGGTGCCGGAGGAGAAGAATCCGGGAGTGAAGGGGAGATCGACGGACTAGCAGGAGAAGGAGAAGGGGAATATTCTGGCGGATCTACGGCTACTACTGATTGTACAGTGAAAATGACGGTGAAGAGTAGAGTTAGAGAGAGAATTTGAACGAGTTTTCTGAATGAAGCAGCCATTACGACGGATTTTCGAAGATTCAAAACCAAGTCGAAGAGAATTAAAGGGAGTTATTCCCGAAAATTGAGAGAATTTGTAGAGATCCAGAGAAGTACAATGGCGATTGAGAGAGAGAGGATACAGGGGAACGGTAATTATGGTATGAAGTAGAGAGAGAGAGAGAGGCGCATGAAACGGAGGGGATTTTGTTTCTTGCTTAAGATACAAACAAAGTGGATTCCAGTCATTCATCTCTTAAGGAATTTGAATTTGGTTTAAACACTTTATTTAATACTAAATAATTAATTAAATTCAAAACTAATAATAATCTTCTTTAAAAATTATTTGTGTCGGCGTGGAACTGTAACCTCACACCACTACGTTACATGTTGTGAACCCATGTTACTTGGACTGCACCTAAAGGTAGCTGGCTTTCAAATGTAACCTGACCTACACCATGTGGACTCCTTATCTATAATGTACATTGTACACTAATTAATGCTTTATTTAGTTCACATTCTTTTTTTCATTCTCATTCTTCTACTCATTTTCAATCATATATTTTTCAATAAAATAATATTTTTCATCACATCAATATTTTTTCCTTCTTTTTCAACCACATATTTCTCATCACATTTACAGTAAAAATGCATTCTTACCTTCAAAATGTGCACCAAACGGGGCCTACTAAACGTATAAGCCAATAATTCAGTGGAAGCAATAAAATTGACGATAGCAAAATTTTTTTTTTTTAAATTTTACAAGCTTTTTATCATCCTGACGTCGAGCTATTCTTCCGCAAGACCTCCCCTACATTATGCAGTAGAGTTTAACCACCAAGTTCATGATAGATTGAATTTATTATTTACTTAGATTGTACGGAAATGGGAGACGTGTTGTTGTTCGAGTAGTCTCTCTTTTCATCAAGCGAGTACATATACAACAAAAAGACTTGGAAAAGTTACAACGCTCGTCCACAAAATTTTGAAGAAAAACATTCAAGAATTGAACCCACACAAAGTATATGCTCGTCGAGACAAAATAAAAGTTTAAACCAATTCTAATCACAGCTTGGAGCCTCTATTAAAACATTTTCCCCTCTTTTTAACAAATAAATCGTGTTATTTGTTATTGTTTATGAAATAAAAGCACGTAAAACAATAATTTTCGAAAGGAAAATATACATGTTTTGGATAAAATCGTTAGATGTCATTCCAAAGCACATTTATTAAACTTATAAAATTTTTTAAAGATTTGGAACTTTTTGATGCAAATCTTCCTTGTTTTAATTTTGTCCTTTTTAAAATTAGTCGAATTATGATTTTATTTTTTGTCAACTAACGGATTTTTGAAAAGATGCCATCTAGACATCTTTCTCTTTCACAATTTAAAGGTTTGGAACTATGATTTAAAAATTTGGATCTAATCTACGCTATTTTGAAACCGTCAATGCAAGTTTTACTTGTTCTTATTTACTACGAATGTTCTCTTTCGATTCTAATGGATATCTTTCGGCCATCTGCACCAATTGTCAAAGTGATAGCCCGCGGGGAGAGGGGCAGGTCTCGGCCCAATCACATTTGAAGGGTCTTTTTTTTTTCTTTTTTTAAAAAGAAAATTAGGCCCACTACCCTTCAAAATTAAGACATTTGAATAATAACCTATTAACTAATTAAAACATTTAATTACGTAATTAATACGTTCTAAACTCCCAAAATCACAAATTCGAAATTAGATTCACGATTCCACGGAGCTCACAAAGAGAATCCTCCTCACCCACGAATCCGCCGACTCCGCTTCAACGCTTCAAGTTGTAACTATGTGATTTTGGACAAACTTGTGTTCTATCTTTGTTGTTTTTTACCCTAATATAGTCAGATCTATGGTGAAAAGGAGTTGAATCTACTGCTGAGAATTCAAAATTGGATGAGGGAAAACATTGGGACATTGAACAATCTTCAAATTAATGTCAAAGCCTTACAAATCGAAGGAAAACTTTGAATCATATCATTTGGGTAGCAGATAACTGTTGTGTTGAGTGACGGGCAAATGTATAAAGCCTGTTTCATATTGTAAAACAGTACTTTCCCAACTAATTTGAGTAGACTT